AGAAGTTAATTGTTTGCATTCGGAAAACTTTAACCCCTGTTGCCGGCGAGCCGTCCGAAAATAGCCGAGCTGTTTTCTGCCGTGAAAGGAAAGGGGAAAAAAAAACAAACCCAAAACAAAAATAAAAGAGGAAAAGTTTGGCGTTCGGGTGGGTGAAGTTTGCAGGGAGCAGATCCCGCCGCTTTGATTAACACAGATTTCCGATAAGGGAGCAAATAAATGCTGACAGCTTCTTGCGGTCCGTTCTTTAGCTCATTACCATAGATTTGCATTCCTCTGTTAAAGAAAGCTGAGCTCCGGTCACCCAAACCTTTGCTTCTCTCGTTTTGGGTCTTTTTCGTTTCTTTTCCGCGTCTTGGGGGAGATGAATGGAAAATGGAAGTATTTCCTTTATCCTTTGCAAAATCCCGATCTGCTCCCGGTCCCGTACCGCATTGTGCCCTCTTGCGTTTTTTTGTTAATACCAAATCCACGCCCGACCTTTTATGGCCAAAAAGGAGCTCTGAGTTACTCTCAGAAGCGGAGTTTATCGATCGTCACCGATCGGAACTGTTTTACGAGAGGAAAGCGGTGGTGCGGAGGGGTTCTGCCTCGGAGACCCCGCGATTCTCAGCTCTCGGAATCCGCTGCGAAACACCTCTTTTTTTTTTTGTTTGGCCAACATCAAACGCTGGAAGCCCCTAAAAGCCACGCTTTGCTCTTTGGGGTCGCCTCTTTCATTTATGCCTGAATTCATCCCTTTATTCTTTCCCCCTCTCCCCCCCTACTCCCTCCCGGATTTGGTTGCACGGGGATGCGCTCCGCAATACCTGATCCCCCCCCCCCCCATTCCCCCAACCTCGGTTTGCTCCCTCTTATCAAACGCGAAAAGCCAGAAAAGAAAAGAAAAAAAAAAAAGATAATAACGATAAGAATAACAATAATGAAACCCAGAAGTGCCACTGATGGTTCGCATCGTATGAAGGACTTCTTTTCCCCATCCGAATTTGTAACCATCTGTCTGTCGGTTCTTACACGCGGTGAAATGACACACGTTATCATACGCACTCCTCTCTGCCTGGATCTGCGGCCGTGTGTGCTCCAGATCTAGAATTACATACATTACAAGCTCACTGTACGGCTGCCAACTCGTCTCTTTCTGACGGAGCTTTAAGTATCTACGAAAGTCGTATCTTATTACGAGCTAATTTATTTTAAACATCGTATTTACAGGAGCAAAGCCAAGATTGTTTCATGCCATGGCTGCGATGAACACTTCGGCTGAAACGTAATCCTTATAATTCAAGGAAATAACATGCAAGGGAAGTAGTTTTCCATCCTCCACCCCCCCTCTCTGACTGATATCTCCTATATTTGTTCTTGCAGAGTTTCCCTCGGTGCATGGCGTGGACCCAAACTTACGTAGATCGGCTTTATTGGTATGCGAGAAAAACAAATACGGGATTGAAAGGGATGGAGAAGAAAGAGGAGGAAAAAAAGCATCGGATGAGAGCCTGAAGTTCACAGCTTTGCAGGAGCGGCTCACACGTTTGATTAGAGTTACGCAATATTGATAGCGCTACCAAAACAGCGACTGTCTGCCACCATCGGCTCCGCATGCAAATTCTGGGCTAAGAAATGGGAGGTCCTGATAATTCAGTGCGTGAGTAAATCTGCCGAAATGTTTGCTCGAATGTTTGCTCTCAGTTCTCACGGTTGCTTTGCGAATAAATGCCTCGAAATAGTTCGGACACCCCTTCGTTTCCCTCCCCTTTCGCCCCCTCCCATCCCCCCCCCCAACCTCCCCTTCGGATTTACCGTAGTGAAATACTGAGCAGGTTGTGCACGTATGGCTAAAGAAGGTTTTTAGGGCGGTTTATATGTCCGCGTTATATAAGAAAACAGAATGCGTTGCAACCGGCCGCTCGCTAATTGCTTATTGCTGATATTTTAGATGCCCTATAGATTAAATGAATACATCTCGCTTCTTAAGAGAGGGGCGAAACTTCTCTTGGCCCCGCAGTTGGCGATTTGGGGAGAGAAAGGAGAAGAGAGGACTTGTTTTCCGAACTGATATACATATATATATATCCAAAACCAAATAGAATGTCACACTGTTCATCTTCCGAAGGGTCCGGCCCGAGGAATAATTGGTTTGTCACCTAAAATGCATGCGAACACGAGAGGGGACCTTACACTGTGCTGTATCTTAGAGAACGGCACCTTCAGCACGGAGGTGGTTTCTATTCCCATGTAAATGGCTTTGCCAAAATAAAGGGCTGAATAAATAAATGAATGGACGGTGGCTTATGGGCATGGCCGCTTCGCAGACACTCTCCTGCCTTTCCCGATATAAATCTGAGACCGATTTCGCGAATTCTCTTTTCTTTGGCCGCTTCCAGCGCCAGCCAAGCCGGGAGGGGACACAGACACAGAGCATAAAGGACTCAGCAGCAAGCTCGTACAGTAGCCCATAAGTTAGGGCTCTCTCTGACAGTGCCCATTGGCACATCTTTATTCAGCCTTTGGCCTCATCTCCTTAAAAACAGGCTCAGAGAAGGGGCAATAAAGAGGGAAAGTCGCAGGAGACGCCAGAAGGTGGTAGAGAGCGTTTCACTGAGCGCTGGGAACCCGTCTTTGCTCTCTGACTGACATCACTCAGCTGGCAGGGCATCAATAAAGATAAAGGGACGGATTTACAGTACGCACAATCAAGGCTATCTGCCCAGGAAGGTCCAACTTTTCTGTTGCTTTGCTTTTCTGGCCAGCAAACGTCATCCCCACAAAGCAGAGGGAGGCAGATAGATGAGGGGATTAAAACAACACCCAAATATTTCGAAATGCAAACAGAACAGAGCATTTCTTGTGCCAGAGCTAAACCGGCTGAGAACTTGGTGGAAAGTTCAGCGCAGTTGGTTCCAATAAAAAATGAAACTCTTTTTTTTTCATGTGGAGCTGGAATTCCCGATCCTTCTGAAGTGAGAACACAGCGGGGGTTTCCCTACCCAGGGACTTATTGCAGCCATAAAGTCAAGCAAACACCACGAAAACACTTGAAAAAAACCCTTGTTCCTGGAGTCAGACATAGAAAGCAGTTGGCAGCAGAGCAGCCTCTCTGTAATGTTCAGCCACAGCCAAATTACATCGGGGGGAAACCCGACAGAAGTCCTCTGTGCTCCGCTGTTGCCGTGTTTAAAACAATGAGCCCTGAAGGTGTAAAAAAAAATACATCTATTCCCTCTCCCGGCTCATAACCGCCTAAAACTGAATTCCCAGCAATTTAAGTTTAATTTACCTGACTTCCCATGCAGTGCGTAATAACCTTGTTAATGGGATCTTTCAAAAGAAGCAATAATAATCTGCCATTGTTCCATTAAAGAGTGAGGCTAATTATTAACAACAACAACAAAAAAAAAAGGGGGGGGGGGGGGGAGGGGGGGAAAAGGGGGGAGGACATTTCGGTGGTCGCGTCGCACCCTGGCGAATGCAAACCCTGAGAGAGAGGGAAGGGTGGAAGGAATATCGGTGAGCAGAGGAAGGGAAAAACCGACTCGTATCGTGCGGTGCGTAAGGCGAGTGCCGCGGGGTGTTGGGAATTGCAGCATGGAACGGTTTAATCGCGGCTGTTGCGGGTCAAGAGAGAGAAACTTTCCACCATCACCACCGCCACCACCCCCTCCGTTTTTCGTTGTTTTTTTTTGTTGTTTGTTTTTTAACGTAGGCACCCATCATCTCACTTTCTTAGAGAAAATGTCACCAGTCCAGACGTAAACAGTTGCCAGGAAACTGCGTGGTAGAAGGAGAAAACGAGAGGGAGAAAGAGAGAGAGAGGGAGGGAGAGAGAGAGAAACCTTTTAAAATAACAGGCTCGCATTGTCCCTTCAAAGCCAGCAGTAACTTAAAAGTGATTCGTCGTCTGCCTTTACTCTCTGCTCCTTCCCCAGCAACCACCTCCATTCTGTGTACACGACTTGACATATCTTTTCCAGACCCCACCGAAATGACCACTGGAAGCAATAAATAAATAAAAGCCCCTCTGCCTTTTATGATTAGCTGAAATCCCACCTCGCCTGCGCCTCGTACGTCATTACTGGAGCTCATTTCACAAGATCTCCTCTCGTGCTCCTGCCCTGCAAACAACCGGCTATCTTTCGTCTTCCGTGTGTGTATACAGATAGATAGATGCGAGCTTTTACGTGTATGTAGGATTATATGTATGTATTTATGATAAATCTCCGCACACACGGCAAGGAACAGACACAAGTTGTACACAAGAAGCGGTCACACATCGAAGTAGGCACAGCTCAACATACGGACATACGGGGGTGGGGAGGGGGGGGGGTTGCACGTAGATCTTATTGCAGGCGATCTATTTACATATATACATCCATCCCATATATTTACATTCAGACGCACGCAGCTGAAAGAACCCCCCTCACCCCCCCTAAGCAGAACACCAGGCCTCGGGGATGCAAAACGGCGGAGGGAATCCCGAGAAGCTCGGAGCCGGGTCTCGCATTGGGGCACAGAGGGCGGGATCCAGGCTGTGTGTCCCCCCCCTCACCCTTCCACTCCATCAGCCCCCCCGTTTCCTCACCCCCAGCCCCACCGGGCACTGCGGGAACCCCCGGGGAGCGCCGCCCGCCGCCGCCGACGGTAGATGGCAGCAGACGGCGGGGAATGGGCGAGCCCCGCAGCGCGGCGGCGGCACCGGGGGGACGGCACGGCGGGGAGCTGCCTCCCTTCTCCTCCACCGCGTTTTATTTCCATCCATGAAAGCGCAGGGAAACTGCCAAAGAAAGGAGAGGAGGGGATTCCCTCCCTCCCCCCTCCCCACCCCCCCACCCCGGGGCACGCGTGGGCCGAGGGTTGAAACTCGCTGCCAGCCCCGAGGTGAGAGATCCCACAAGTGGTTGCCAGCGGAGGGTGTGGAAGGATCGGTATAAAAGGGATTTGGAGGAAGGTTAATAAACCGTTCGTATTCTTCTCCTTATTATTATTACTACTATTCGCGTTGGGGAGATGGAAAAAGAAAAAGAAAACGAGTGCGGAGAGACCAAGACGTAATGGAGAACAGGCAGTGAACCAGCATTAGCTTCCCCACAACGTGATTTATGAAAAAATGTAACAGGTTTGGGAATAAATGGCTGTTAAAGATTGTCTTTCTGTTTATTACTTCCACGGCTTGCGATCATTTACTCTCGTCCACACGATATTCAGGCACAGTCAAGTTAGCGGAGATAAATCGTCACGTCATAAAACGGTTTATGCTTAAGTAATGAATCTCATCTTAATCTCGTTGCACACACACAGGATCCTACAGCATCTTATTCAAAAAGAGCTTCGTAACAACCGCAATTAGCGCTACATTCAACCACCCGAAAGCTGGAAAAAATGAAAATCACATTCAAAATGACGCGCATCTCCGGACAATTATTACCCTTAAGGCAACGTTAGGGAATCAGACAGCACGGAGGGGGAACAGCGAGGGGATTTACACAAAACCTGGCAGCAAGCTGTGGGAAAGGACCAACACAACGTGAGGCTGAAACCCTACCCGGTAATCCGGCATGGAAAGCCATAAAGACCCGTTAACACTGCAAAACGCAATTAAATACGAGGAGGTTTATTGCGCTGCAACGTCAGCTTCATTTGGGAGTTTCACGAGGGGAGGAAAAAAAAAAGAAAGAAAAGGAAAAGGAAAAAAAAACAAAACCACAACACGACACAATGAGAGCGCAGCGTTCTGGGTTGGCTTCGTTCTTCTTATTATTATTTTTTCTCTTTCTTTCTTTTTTTTTTCCCCCCTCTCCTTTTTTATTTTTATTTTTTAAACTAATTTCCAGAACCGTATTTTCGAGGACTGCCGTGAAATGCCCTCTTTGAAGAAACCACCCACATCATAATGACCCTGGAGAGCAACGCAAAACCCAACTGGCTTCCACACAAAACTTCGCCAAATTACTGGGCTCGCCTGAAGACAGGCAAACTGGCACGAGATTCAGCGAGGGGGGATAAAATAAAACACGACAACTACCCACAAAGGGGCTGGTAATTTTTAAAAGGCAGTATCTGAAAGGCACATCACCGAGCTACTGCAAAATCCTTCATTCCAAGCCTACCATCGCCAGGTGACCCTACAGGCTTCATCCTTCCTTCTTATTCCATTTCTTTCCTTTTCTTTCTTTCTTACTCCATTTCTTTCTCTCCTCTTTCTTTCACTCTTTCCTTTTTTCTTTTTTTCCTCTCTCTCTTTCCTTCTTTTCTTCCTTTCCTTCTTTTCTTTCTTTCTTTCTTTCTTTCTTTCTTTCTTTCTTTCTTTCTTTCTTTCTTTCTTTCTTTCTTTCTTTCTTTCTTTCTTTCTTTCTTTCTTTCTTTCTTTCTTTCGGTCTTTTTCTCATTCTCTCTTCCTTTTTCTATTCCCCTTCCTTTTCCCCTCCATCTCCCCTATTTCTTCCTCATTCCCTTTTTCTTCCCTTTTCTCTTCTTTTTTTTTCTCACCACATCCTACATTTTTTCGGATTAATATTCACTAAAACACATTTTCACCAGCCACCATTTTCCCTTTTTCATCACTCCACCCTTTTCTTTCTATTTCCCCCCTTGGGTAGGGGAGGAGAGGGAGATGGGGAATGGAACAGAAAACAAGCAGCTTGACAAATGCATTTCCTCAAATAAAATAATAAGAATAAATTAAGAGAAACAGGTATTATTTCCTTACCTTTTGACGTCCGTTTCTGTGGTATAAGCAAAATATATAGGGAGAGGGAGACAGCGTTTGCTTATCTGTTAGCTGACAAATATTGTCCCAACCTGATAGCCGTCGATTGCCTCTCTGACTTGTGAGAGCTTCTTGCATTTCTGTCATTTGCATGGAAAATGGAGTAACTTCCCTCTTTGAAAAATGAAAGCCGCCACTCCGTCCAGAATCTCCACTGTCCCTCCATTACTACTGAGATTCCAAATCGGCAGGCAAATTAACAGAGGAATTAAAAAGAAAAAAAAAAAAAAAAAGAGGAAAAAGGAAAAAAAAAAGAAGGAAAAAAAAAAAAACCTCTTTTCCTATGTGTGTGTGAGGATGGGAGCCTATGTGCGTGTGTGGATGCGTGGATAGGCGTCCCCCCCTCCCCTCTCCCCTGCTTTAAACCTATCGAGCCTATACACCAAAGTAAAAAAATGTAAAGAGGAGAGAGCCCTATAGAGGACACTGATCCGACCCAAGGTGCAGCGGACAGAAGAATGGTGCAATATAACCACATGGGAAATAATAAAAAGTTCATGTTCACGGTTAGCAGTCCACATGACCGGCTCTGGCCAATCCCAGAACCCAGCCACTCATAAAGTTCTATCACAAAGTTGTAAATTTTCATAAAACAACAAGGAATTTATTGCATTTCTTCATGACCGGTTTAACAGCAGTCTTTTTCTTAGCCGCCATCTTTTTTTTAAAACAAAAATAAAAGAATATGAAAAGGGGTTCGGGGATTTTTTTCCCCCCCCCTCTTTGGTTCTACGGAGGGGGGTGTTCGAGAGAAATGATCGAATAATTCCTCGTGTAATAGGCTATGAACAATAATGACTCCCCCGAAATAAAGAGATTGGGCTTGGGGTTGGCTTTTAAACCAGCAAAGCCACTAAAACAGTGGGGTTCGGGGGAGACTTTGGATGTCTCTTGATTTTTCAATGCAACGGGGAACCTGTTTTAATTTCTTATTTTTTGCTGCCAAGGGCAAGTCGCTGATTTCGGGGGTAACAAAAAGGGAAATAACAGGCGGACAGCAGCGCTCGTGCCTCGGGTAGAACCGGGTCGGAGGGGTGGGAGGGGGGTGGGGGGGCTGTGCTCAGCGGGTCCCCACGGCCGCTCACCCCCAGGATCCGCTTATCCCCCCCCCCCCTCCTACTCCCCCCCATAGCGCGGGGACTCCCATAGGGACACACGGGGTGCGCAGTTCGGGTCTCGGAGGTGTCGCCATGGCACACACTTCGCCTTTTCCATGAGACCTTCCTCGATCCCTCCTCGATCCCTCCTCGATCCCCTCTGCTTGCGGCACAGCTCCGTGTCGGAGGGGGCCGATGCAGCAGAACGG